TTATTATTATTATTACTAGGAAGACCTATTACTCTAGTATTACTTTAAGGCGTTGTATTTATTCTTCTTAAGTAGTATTATATAATATATATTACTCCTATTTTTTATTCTATATAACTTGGGTCTGTGCCATCTACTATAGCAGCATCTGCGCCCATGTAAGGGGGCTCATTGACTCCTATAGCTACATGGCTATTAGGGGTAGTATCGCGTATTATTATTATTCTAATTATTATTCATTTGCGTTTTATTATATTAATTAATAATTAAGAATTAGAAGCTTTTCATATATAAAGGGCTAAAGCCAGACTTATATTTAATCTAGCTAGGCCATGAACTGTGTATAAAAAGCTTAAAGAAAGAGAAGTTCTCTAGTCACATTCTTCCTATTAACATGCCATGGTCATGTGTGCGGGCGCTAGCCCGTGCCTGGTATCGGGCACTGGCCCGTGACACTAGTTAGAGGTTAAGATAGTTAGAGAATTAGCTAGGTTCTAGCCTAAATATAAACCTAAATCCTTAAATAAAGCTCTAGATAGATTATATAGAATAAAGTAAGTATATAATCTCTAATAATAGGTAGTAGTTATTAGAGATTATATAATAGCTATAGTAGCTAGTTTTAAGTCTAAGAATAAGTTTTTAGAGGTAGATATTTATTAATATCCTAGTCCTATATATTATCCTATAGGCGCTTAAATAGGTTTATATTAAATTAAATTCCCTAATTCTTAATACTAGTAGCTAGGAAGTTATAGTTTATATATAGCTTCCTAGGTATAAGATATAAATAATTTAGTTACTTATAAATAGAGTGCTAGTTCTATATATATATAAAGGATCTAATCTAAACTTAAAGAACTAGTATATAGATTATATATAAAGTAATCTAATTACTAAGATTATTAGGGGAGAAGTTTCCCTCTTCTTAAAGGCTATAAAAATATTCCTAAGTTCTTAATTAGTTATTATATAAGGTAAAAGAGTATATACTTACCTAATATTAAAATAGTATCCTATATGTTAGTTAAAGCCACCATGCCTTAATCTACTAATTAGCCATACTTATACTATATAGATAATAGTCTCTAATATAGATTTCTAGGTAAAGAGACTATTAGAGCTTATACTATACTTTAGTAAGAAGAATTATCTCTATACTATAATTAGATTATATAAAGCAAGGCTGCTACTATATAACCTTAAGTATATTAAGGAACTATTAAAACATACTAACTACTATATAAGAGCTAATACTAATATATATCTAGATAATATAGTAAGAATAAGTATTAATTACTATATATATCTTAATACTATATAGGGCTAGCTTAAGATAGCTATTAATTAACTAGATAAAATTTAGCCTAGGTATAATATAGGCTCTATAA